CAAATAGTTATATAAATAATTATGATAAAATAAATCTTATTTAAAAAATTATGGATCAAACGATTTCTTATTTTAAAAACCACGAATACAATTTTTAATGTTTAATACAATTTTATGAACTCATTTGATTCATTGGATAAGAAAATTTTCATCTGTAATTTTTTAATTAGAAACTTATTTATATATAATTAAAAAATAAAATGATAAAAAAATGAAATTTTAAAATCCTCTATATTATTGTTAATAAAAAAATCATTTAATTTTTAATCTAAACAAAAAACCCTTTACTTTTATGATTATATAGTTAAATCATAAACCCTATATAATTTAATATAAAAATCATTTTAATTTCTCATTTTTAAAATATAGGGATGTCTTTTATCATAAAACTTTTTTAAAAAAATCAATATTTTTTTTGGACAAAAAAGGTACATAATAATTTTGCTTTTGACATTTAGAGCATGGAATCCTAGGACAATACATTGTACCTCACACCAACTTGCATATTTGTCCGCCGCCTCTCGCATTTAAACGTGCTAATTATGACAATTATTTTTTTAGCCTAATAATTATAATAGTTATTTGATTGATAATTTTGATATTCCCAGTTCATTTCCTTGAATAATTTTATTATTATTTTCTTTTGATTTTTTAGTATATTGATCGTATCAATATATTTAAGATTTCATATTTTTCAAATATATTATCAAATTTTATATTCTTACTCTTAATAATTCTTATTACTTGCAAAATAAGAGGCATTACCTTTTAGTGAATTATGCGTTTTAATTTTAGATTTAGTTTTAAATTTTATCTTTTCATTTTAAAAAATTAGAAATATAGTATTTCATTTAATATGTAATAATGTATTTTTACATTAATTAATAAATATTCTAATTATTCGTAAATATATGAACTTATGTATTGTTAATTTTTGTTAATTTTTTATATAAATCGTTCAACTATTGAATTAATATATACGATGAATGACTTATTTGAACTACCTTTGATATCAGTTGAAATCTTATAGTGAATTTTCAATACCTAATTGGTTAAAAAAACAGATATCAAATTAAATTTTAAAACCAAATTCATGTATCTAATTAAACTAAAGAAATTAAATATAAGATTATAACCTAAAATCAAATTTAAGTACTAATATACATATTTATCCTTTGCTATATATAAAATTATTAAAGTGTTATCAATCAAGGTGTGGTGTACTTGTAAAAAAAATATGATTTTAATTTGAACTGATGATAATTATTTAATTCTAGTCCAAATAAATCTCTCCCTTTTATTAAAAAAATAATACTTAAAAATATAATCTAATTGAACTAATTTTTTAATTTTAATAAAGTACAAGGATTATAAAATAAATCGACGAACTAAATTGGAATATTTTCAAGAACTAAATATAGAAATGAAATTTATAAAAAAAGAAATTTATAACACGAAGAAATGAAATTGGAATATTTTATAAATTTTATAAAACGAAGAAATGAAATTTATAACTAAATTGGATTATTTTCAAGAACTAAATATATAAATGAAATTTATAGAAAAAAGGAATTTATAACACGAAGAAATGAAATTGGAATATTTTATAAATTTTATAAAACGAAGAAATGAAATTTATAACTAAATTGGAATATTTTCAAGAACTAAACATAGAAAAGAAAGAATTTTATATAAAATATTTTAAAACAATAAATTTCGAGTAAAAGAAAACCTGAAAAATAAATGTCCCGTAGCTGTACTATAGTGAAATGTAGATGTCACCATAAAGAAATTGGCATGGGGTAAGCTTTACTATTTTCTGCAAGAAGCCGCCTTCCATATTAGAGCAACAGGGATTGTAAGCATTCGTCACTAAAAATAGGCCTGTAAATGAACTGAACGTTCAGCGAACCGTTCATGAACCGTGCGGCGGGAAGTTCGTTTATGTGCGTTTATTTATTAAATGAACGAACATGAACAAGATTTTGTGTTCGTTTAATTAAATGAACGAACATGAACATAGGTCTCGTTCGTTCATTTACGTTCGTGAACGTTCGGTTATGTTCGTTTATATGCGTTTAGTTATATTCGTTTATGTGCGTTCATTTATGTTTAACCTAATATTCTTAAATCAATTTTGGTGACCAATTTGTATGTATCTTAAAAATATTAATTAATATGATATTTTGATGACCAACTTCATAATTAACCCAATTTTACAGCCTGATTAAGCGATAATACAAAAAACCCTAAATCTAAAAACAATATTTTCTCAACTCTTCTTCAACCCGTCATTCAGCTGTTCTTGATTCTCAACTCTCCCCACCCTCCACAATTTTCATTTCTGCAACGATTCGACGGAGCTTCAAGTCTTCAACTGCAACGATTCGACAGAGCTTCATCTCTTTCCCTTCTTGAACGTGATTTCATAAGGTAAATAATTTGAATTTTTTTTGGTCTGTTAATTTTGGGGTGTGAATTTAGGGATTTTTTGTGGCATCTTGAACGATGTGGAACCCCTTGTACCGCGATGAACGGCATTCGACCAGTCGGTCTTCCAGCCCACCCCTCGTTGCCCAGTCCGTGTTAGAGTTGCCCTTAGGGAGTCCCAGTCAGATTTGCACTTATATCCTCTAGTGGGGGGAAGAAAGTGGCGTGGTCAGGGAGCGTTGTTGGATATGGCTGCAATGTTGCGGAGGAATGGAAGGAGGTGAGTCGAGGTATTTGAATTGAAACGAGTCAGACTCGGGCATAAGGAAGATGAGAGACTCGCATGGTAGGAAGGTTCAGGGCTTGGGAAAGATGAAGACTGTGGACTGGGATGGTGGAAGGAGAACAATATTAAATTTAACATTTTGTCAAAAATGGCTGCTGACATATTGGCAATTCCGGTCACTACTGTTGCTTCTGATCGCTTTCAGTGCTAGTGGGAGGGGTTATTGATCCGCATCGATCCTCTTTAGGAACTAATATGGTAGATATGCTTGTTTGTGGAGTTGATTGGTATCGTCAATACTATGGGTTGGAAAAATAAAAACAAGGTATTTTTGTTTTAAGTTTTATTGAATTTGGTTTTACAATGACTAATATATTTTTGGTTTTTTGATTTGTTGTAGCAAAACGAAGATATCATACATGTTGAGATTCCTTGAAAATGAGGATGAATGAATTGGTATAACCTCGCTAATTTAGTATATTTTTCATCTTTTGTTATAACTCCTTTAATTTAATATAATTTTATTTGTTTGATTTTGATCAAGATGGATGATGAATTAACGACTGATTATGAATGCAAGTTGAATATGTTACAAATATTATGAAGTTGTTTGGATTTCAAGAAGATTGTTTTGTTGAACAAACTTTACTTTATTATATTCATATAGCTTACTTATGATTTATGTATGTTTTTGTCGTGTTCGAACAATTAACTCTAAAGTTGTGAATCATTTAATATCTTTAAAATTGATCGAAATATTGATATCTTCAAACATTTCATCACTGCTAATCAGATCTTACGCTATTATCACTGTAGATTTGGTTGATTTGCATTGTCGACTATTTTTCATGAAAGAACAATGGAAGGTAGGGTCTCCAATGTTTATGTTCGTGTTCATTTATGTTCGTGTTCGTTTATGTTTGTGTTCGTTTATGTTCGTTTATTTATTAAATGAACGAACATGAACAAGCTATATTCCTTAATGAACGAACATGAACAAAAAAAATTTTGTTCGTTTATGTTCGTGTTCGTTTATGTTCGCTTATTTATTAAATGAACGAACATGAACATACATCCGTTCGTGTGCGTTCGGTTCGTTTACAGGCCTAACTAAAAACAAAGGGACAAAAAGGGGTTGCTTTAAAGCTATTGTAACTTAACCAAAATTCAACAATTTCAGTCAGGGATATATGGATGATTTAATGCTAGAGAGGTTAATTTCTAAATTTTTAAAGGGACAATAAAAAAATTATCAATTAAAAATATAAAAATATTTAAAATATATTCTAATTTAAAATTTCAAGAGACAATTGTCTCTACCTACCCTTCCTTCGATCAATCTCTAGTTTCAGTTGTGGTTCTTGTTAATAATAGTTTGAAACGTAGGGGTTCAAAGCTATTTAATTTGGAATTAAATGAAGCATAAGTTTGATATTAAATGGTGTATGTGATAATTGTTATTTGATCCCTAATTTATAAGATCATCCTTAGAGCTCAACTATAAATAGGCTTAACTATTTTCATTCGACATCGTCCCAATTTCAAACCATCTCTCCCATTTGGTTCTCTTCTCTCATTTGTTGTATTTGGAAATTCTTAGAGAATTCCATTTGTGCTTTTAGGACATCATTGAGGAACATACCATGGATTAAAACATGTTTAAATTATTATTTCTCCATTTTCATTAAGAAAATAGGTCAATGCTGTAATTACAATTTGCATGAATTATATCACCTATATTTATACATTAAATTAATTTAAGTCTATGGATTAATTAATAAAACTAAAGAAACTAAAGAGTGCTAATGAATTCCATTGCTATTATTAAATATTAATGATTTAAGTAAAATTTTGATAAGGTGTGCATTTTGAATCATGTATATATTTATTTGGAGAATATTATAATACTTTTTTTATGGAACATGAATATTATAATAAATTTGAGTTCGAGAAATACATTTTTAATATAAATTTAATTGTTTATATTATTTGGTTGTTGATAAGTCAAAAAAATTATTGACTTTAAACAAAGATCTCAATTAATCCAAAGACGGTTAATTAGGTTTTAATAAAATATCAATTCCCCATTGAAATTGCTTATCGTGTGTTAGCCAACTCTAGAATTGAGTTACAAATGAGAAAAGTTAAAAGTAAAAAAAATAATAAATTTCAAAACACCTAATAATTTAAAGTAAAACCAAATAACACAGTGCAAGTAGATTTAGTCCGAATGTATAATCAAAGTAATCAGCTAGTAAGTTTGAAGTAGTTTTGAAAAAATCAACTAGAAGAACCTTGGTTTCTTGTTTTTCATCTCATGTTCATTGATATCATGGCAGAAATCGTCGGAGAAATCAGGAGGAAGCGTTTGATGAAACGCATGTGGCATCATCAGCTGTTGTCGATGGTTATAAGCAGTTGCCAACTCTGCTGGTTGCATGGATGGAGCAGCATTGAGCCAAGTTCCCATTCCTGCCTTTGGTTCCTTGAGCATCGCATAGTTTTGCATGCCACTTGACCTGCTCGGATCATGAAGAACCTGAATCGATGAAATCGGATCGAACAGTACATCATTGTTCGGCATCCCGTATATAGGATTGCCATGAATGAAAAACGGAGGAGTGTTGTACATCACATTGTTCGGAATGCTGTTGTTGCTACTAGACGCTATCCCTGATCGGAGTTCGAAATTAATATCGTTATTCATCATGGACATTCTCAGCAATTTGTCGTTGGGATTCAGGCCAAGGGAAAGCTTCACCAAAGCCTCGTCAGCAGGGGAAAGGGAAGGTCGATGTATGTCAATAGATTTAGGCGGGAGAGAAGAAGACTGCTCCCTAATAACTCCGAATTCCGCGTTTTTTGGAGAAAAGGCTTGGATGGCATGAGCATTGATGTGATTATCCGAAAGGTTTCGATTCCAAGGATGTAAGGCTGCTGCAGGGATGTTGAAATTATCAGAAGGGCTCGGCCTTGATCGAGCATCGAAACTACCTAGAATACTCCTTGATTCAGATTGCAGCAACTTATGCTTATCATCTCCCTTCATCAACATGATCTTCCTCTTAACCACTTCTATGCTCGAATCGAGTTTAGCGAGACAAGACGAGATCTGTTCAGGGGAGAAATTGTCGATACGATCATCCCATGTCGGAAACTTTGCTTCAAAATTAGCTTTGCACACTTGGGCAACCTCTTCGAGATCCTGTCTCCTGCGCATGTCTAAAAAATGGGAAATACTGAAGGTCCTCTTTTGCGAACCCGAAGCAGCCATAGTTCGCTTGTATCTGTGGATGGTGCCATGAACCCGGAGAGGATCCGAAGGCCAAACTTGGACATTAGGAGGATCGTCTTTCAACCCAGGTGTGAAGATGATCATGCATACGTCCACATCACAAAGAACTGAGAATTCATAAGCCTTCTTTTCCAAGCTCTGCAATCGCTTCTTTAGTGTTGCAGATCGAGTCTTCTCCTTGTCTATAAGTTTCATTCTCAATTTTCTACGGGCCATAAATCTGACAGTACCATAACCATGAAATTAACATATAGAACATAACTGATCCTGCACTTAATCATATTCGAACTCGTAATTTCTAAACTGTTACAATAATAATATTAACCGAGTTAAATTCAATCATCATAAACCGAATTTTAACCATGAATGTTTATATATTTCAAGGTGTCGTTATTGTTTAAACTTTAAACCTAATTAACTGTAATAAACAAGATTAGCACTTGGAAGAGAAAAGGACAATAAAAGTCAAAACGATAAACCTAGTTTGATTAACCATAAAAATAAAAAGGAGAGGGGGCTCACCTTAGATTTTCCGCTAGCCTGTTTCTGAAAAACCTTAATAATGAACAAAATAATAAACATGGAGCTTCTCTTAGTCTTTTATAAATGAGAGAAAAGAGATTTTATTCTCATTAATTACAATACAGGGTGTTGATTCTTGATTCATAAAAATTAGGAAATTATATGATTCTTGATATGATCAGACCATTGTATGACATCAAAGCATTCATAAATGTGATGTATCTTTTAGGTGTTTCCTTTTACCTATATTTTATAAGAAAATAATAAATCTAATTGATGAGATTTCATTACTTTCAAGATCTTTTAAAAAGTCTTTTTAATTTAATAAAAAAATATTTTTAATATATGTATTTATTATTTTTATTAAAAAGTTAATTATATTAAAAATTAAAATAAAATTTACGATAATGTTATAATTAAAAAATATTTTTAATTATTTTTAAAAATCATAAAAATATTACAATTAAGATTAAAATTTGATGCACCGATAATATACAATATCATACACCATCATTTAATAAAATATTTAATTTTATTATTATAATAAAAACCATAGAATTAAATGTATTTGTTTTAATTATTTTCATATCGTTACGCATGTCTTCCTAAAATCATGGTAGTGTATATATTTAGATTGATATGCATTGAATGTACAGATAAATTCATGTAACTTGTAACCCTAGAACTATGTTAATCATTTGAATTAGTTAATAAAAAAGTTAACACCATTCTTAATTATGTCTAAACTTATGTTATATATGCGTCAGAAAATTTTCTTTACTATATTATGTATCAAGACAAGAGGTTCATGTAATCTCTATATGTGATTAAAATATTTGGTCAAAAAATAATTTTAGAAGATATTTTTGTAGGTGATTGTGATAATTTATTTGTAATATTATTTAATATAATAATGTTTTACATTTGATTTAAATACATTACAATTTCATTTTTAATATAAATATTTAAAGTAATAAATTAAAAATAGCAAATTTTTTAAAATAAAATATTTAGTCACTTATAAAAGAAAACGTCTCTGAATATATGATGATCTTCAGTGGTGTTTAGAAACTAAAATGCCATTGATTTTCGAACATGATGCAGTGGCGTATTTATAAGAAAACCACTACTTTTGAAACTCTTGTTTTTTCCAAACTGTCATAGATTTGGGAATATATAAGGAAATACACATTAATATACGACTAAAAAATAGCATGATCGGAAATTTAATAAGATAATTAACAAAGAAGGTTAAGTGCTATTGGAAATGTTGACTAATAATAATGTTGTAGGTGGAAAACATGAATAAATATTAAAAAATTTGACAACGGGCAAACTTTGTTTATCGGTAGGTATCGATACCGTGTACAGAAATATCGATATATATAGTAATATATAAGAAAGTGAAGAAAACCGGTTAAAAGTATACATGTATCGATACCTTTATAAGTATATGTATAAAAGTATTGGTACTTTAGTAATTTAAAAGAATTGCAATAAAAACGCCTATAAAGTATCGATACTTTACACACATGTATCGATACATGATAATATAACAGGTTGAAATTTGACAAAACCGGAAAAGAGCTACTAGAATTGTTGAAATTTGCATCGATATATTTATAAGTATATGTGTCAAAGTATCAGTACTTTAGGAATTTAAAAGAATTGCAATAATAGCGGCTATAAAGTATCGATACCTTATACACATGTATCGATACATGACAATATAACATATATTAATATAACATGACAATATAACATGTTGAAATTTGACAAAACCAGGTTCAATTTAACAAAACCAGTAAAGTATCGATACCTTAGACACATGTATCAATACATGACAATATAACAGGTTGAAATTTGACAAAACCTGTTTCAATTTGATAAAATCGTTAAAGCGCTACTGGAATTGTTGAAAGTATCGATACAAGTACCATAGTATCGATACTTTAGGAATTTAAAAGAAATGAAAAAAAAGAAAAACGTCTCGAAAATATCGATATCTTACATAAAAGTATCGACACTTAGGGAATGATATTGACTAAATTTAAATAACATAATTGGTTAAAATATCAAAGGCATTACGTTCTGCGAAATAGATAGAAGACAATCGTAGTTTTTGAAATCGAAGCATATTAGTTGCTGCAAAATAGAAGCAAGGCATTTTTGAAAGCATAGTTGTTTGTTGCTGCAATCGAATCAAAATGTATGTTGTCGAAACCCTAATTTTTTAGTATTGTAGTATTTAGAAATAGAGGTTAGGTTTTAGGGTTTGGGGTTTTCAAAGTAAAGAATGGTTTGGGACCGATTATAGGTAGAAACTGATATTTTAGGTAGAAAATAAACATCGATACTTTTATATAATGTTATAGGTAGAAATTGATATCGTAGGTTTATAAAGGCATCGATACTTGTATTAGATACTATTCTCATTCCTTTGAACGCAAGCGGTTACTATAGGATTAGTTATCGATACTTGTATATTAAATAAACTATATGTAACTTGTATTTGATTTGATTTAATTTAATGCTTGAATGTTCATAAACTGATATATGAAGGAAAAATGAAGTCAATGGATCTCACAATTGTTCTTCCGAAGATGACATTGAAATGGAGCCCTAGAGTATCAACAATGAAGAAAATCGAAAGCAACCATTGGGTGGATATATGTACTTCTAGTAAGTATCAATGCATTTTTGTTGAAATGGTAATTGGATTAAAGTATTTAAGAACTTGAAATTGATTACAAATTTCAAATCTTGACACTATGACTGAATGCTAAAGGATGAATGAAGTTGGTATTTACAAAACCAGTTCGATATGTAAACTGAATTTAGAATGAGTATTATTGAGTGCTAATTTATTGATTAAGAAATGTTTATTCTTAATTTTAGGTGAAACATGAGGTGTTGGAGAAATGGAAGTCGATGAGTGATGTTGAGAAGAAACTGTATGTGGCACTGTCCAAAAATGATAGAGAATAATATAAAGCTTGGAGGAAAGCACATAAAAGAAGAAGGTATTCATTAAACTTGTAAATATTGTGATAAACGATATATAAAAACACTAACATTATATATTTTTTAAAAATATAGGAAGTGTCGACAATGTGTAGCATCAAAAGAGTGAACGACATAATTGAACACTTGAAGGAGAAGAATAAAGTACATATGGTGGAAGAAATGGGGTTTGGATCTTTGATAGGAGTGAGGGATCGACCAATTCGGAGGGAGTTGTGTCGATCGTTGATGGAGGAATTTGATGTACAAAATTGTAGAGTTCGATATGGTGAATATTTATTTCCTTTGGGAGTCACATGTGTTGTAGCCGTATTAGGTCTACAAGATAAAGTCATTAGTATCGAAGAACTAATTAAGACAAAGAACTGGAAAACACTTGCTAACAAATATGATTTAAAGCCCAATGTTATATATGCTGGACTTGAGGAGAAAATTAAAAGTTGCCGTTATGACGGGGATAACCTGAAGGCTCGGGTACTATTATACCTTGTCAGAATCTTTCTTTGTCCAAAGGGTGATACATCCCCGAGCAAGGACAATATGAAGTTGATTTGCGACGAAAGGTTTAAGAGTGAATTAAATTGGGCTGAATATGTCCATGATAAATTGATTGATTCAATCATTAGCTTTCAGAAGGGCCGAAGCCACACATACCTCAAAGGGTGTATAGCAATCTTAGAGATAAATGAGTTGAAGGATGTGTTGGGTTAGAAAACTTTTAAATATAGTTATTATAGAAATGATTGAGACATTTGACATTTGTGGTATTCATATTTGACATTTGTGGTATTCAATTTTTTTAACACACATGATAGTGGCATTTATGTGATGATGCGGATGGAAGGGATCGTTGCTAGAGGGTCAACGAATGAAGTGGTAAGTGATTTGAAAAAGTATTTTGCAGTTAAAATGTTAAAACTCTTAACATACTGACAATTTGAATATAGGTTGTTGGAGAGTGAGATCGTATGAGAATATTAAATGATCTCATAAGTCACGATCGAAATAAAAGGAGAGATGCGTTGACAAATGTTTGCACGAGACACATGGAAAAATAGATGTGATGATGTAAGCCTAATTTTGTATGTATTTATTTAGCAGAGTTAGCTTGTAAATTTTGTATGTGAATGAAATTTTGTATGGAATGAAATGTGATTACCAAAGTTATAACAAATTTTGTATGTGAATGAAGTTATGTACGTGATTACCAAAGTTACAACAAATTTTGTATGTGAATGAAATTATATATGTAATTACCAAAGTTAGTAAATAATGTTGTATATGTTTGTTACACATACCATGTGTTATGATATTTACGATATATGTAGATCGGTATTTGCAGTATTATAAAGGTCGTCGTTGTCCTGAGACGTAATAGAGAGATTGAAATTATAAATAAGCATTAAAAATTTAAGACAACATAGTAAAATAGACATAATATCGACAATATTAATTTTGAAATATAAAATTAAAAGGTTAAATATTTAAAACTTAACCTATTAAAATAAAATAAACGCTACCAATTACGTTAAAATACATACAGGTTTGTTTAAAGATTACTAATAATATAAACGGTAAAATAAAATAGGCGTAAGTGCCCAAGTACATATACTTCTCATGTCCGTACTGATACTTTTATTTCAGTATGCTTCTCAAACAATTTGCATGCA